CCGATGTTTGTTTCATCTTTGTATTGTGCTTTACGCGCTAAACTTAAAAATTTGGCAGACCACTGTTAAGTCCTACAAATTGTACTTTACTATTTCAAGAGGCTCCACATTAGGCAATTTCTGCATTTCTGCTTACAACTTGAAAAATTACCAGTCAAGAGAACATTTAACGAAACCACCAAACACTTACTGGAAATAAATGTAGCCAAAGAAGAATAGTAACATAAGTGAAGATAGAACCAGCCATCCAGATATTACCTGCCAAAATAATAATAACCGACACACATTTACATGTAGCCCATATTAAATATTTGGACATTTAGGCACTTTGAGCACAACTATAATATCAATTTTATAAAGACTAGGATAGTTCACGGCTACTACAACAACAGAATCAATGTTAGTAGTTTCTACACTATCTCGACTCCCTGAATGACAGTTGGCAACTGTCCTCAACCAACACTCAGTGAAACATTTGCCAAAGCAAAATATAATAAAAATAAACACCTTATAACACATCGTCAATGGTACAGCGGAACAGACTATAACAGGGGCAAGGGTTAGACCGCACGAAAATGAAAAATCTGTTGCATTATTCACAAAATAATATACAAAACCTCAAAACACTTCCATTTACACACACAAGTGTCTTGCTACTTCTGTTTGAAATGTTGCCAAAACATTTTAGATTTGAAACATGGAAATCAGTGCATTTTGTCACTCCTTGACCTTGAGTATTCACTACTACACTGTATCATTATTATCCACAAATCAAAAATATGTCTCAAGTGTCCCAAGGAAGAAGCCTGAGTTTTAGCATAACAATGGGCATGTACAGAGTCTCAAGCACAAGAAATACTCACACAATAGCATCTAAACTTGTACAACAACACTAGGATTATTGTCAGCACCAAGACAACACCAATCACTATAAAGGCATTTGCTATTGCCTCTCCAGCCTTCCTTGCCTGGCTAATGTCTCCATCTTCATGAAATGGTGTGTAAACACTAAACAAGAACAAGAGACATTAAAATTTTTCTCTTATAAATGTAACCATGTATACAAATCTGTGTGGCTGGGACCTTGACGCACAACAGAAATTTACAAGTATCACTATTACCAGAATGTTAAAGGTACAGGTAAAGGAAGTTATTATCCTTTCCTTGTCAAAATTAAGACAACTAAATATGGTCTTACACCATGGAGATTTTTTGCTACAAAGAAATGGAATGAGCTAACAAATGATATTAGAACTAAAGTAGTCACCGATGAGGTGAACAACAAAATTTGATCACTTAAGTTTGACTGATATCGGAACTTATTATAATTTGATTCTCTAGATTTTTAGTTCTCCACGTTTATAGTTTTATACGTTTTATTATTGTATTTTATTATCGTTTTTATTATTGCACATTTTTATTTTTAATTTTTAGAATATACTAGGGCCGTGGATTACCTGTAAACTAACTGATTAGCTAAGCATAAACCCCATGATAAATAAAGTATTGTGCAATTATATTGTTATCGTTATAAGATGAACATTCAAACAAAGGAAATACAGTGAAAATCAGGACATATCAATATGGAACATGTACATGTACAAAAAAAAAAAAAATTAATAGGAAGTGAGTGAGACTCTGGAGACAGAAACTGAAAGGGTACAACTTACAGATATGTTCCTTCTCTGCGAGTGTAGTATGTGACTGATGCTATGGTTGCCACCACAACCAACATACAAGTCGACACTGGGACAATCAACATCATAACGCTCTTGGCTCCATATTTGAGCATTTCCTCTTCATCCATTTCACTCTCATGAGGCGACACATCTCGCACCCTTGGTTCTCTTCCTTGGTTTCTTGTGCGCCCTCTAGCTCCTGTTACATCATCTCCTTGATCAAATTCGTCAGGTCTATCTTCCTGTAAAAGTAAACAAATTGCTGGATCCCCATTTGTAAAAAATTGCAAAAGCTGTGATCCTCCTGAATGTTTGGGAGCACTCACAAAAGCTGTGGAAAAACTTGCTTCTGGCTCATTTTGGGACAGCAAAACTCCTTCTCCCAAACTTCCACTAGTGTTTCTATAGACACATTGAAAGTGTTTTCTATTTCTTAAATTAAGAAAGGCTATGCAGTGTGCATAGAAAGCCTGCAGCTAGAGGATTTTCCAGTAGTCACTCATTGTCCTTTCTAGTTGTCACTGTCCATCACTCACCCAACAGGCAAGAGAAATTTCTTGAGGTAATCGTTGTCGAAATGCAAATAAGAGAAGTACTGCAAGAAACAAACTTTTTGGTGATGACTGATTTCGGACTAGTACTACTGCATCTGGTCATAGGACTTGCCCAAAGGGTAAGCTCGAAAATTTATTTTCCTTGCACCCTACCATGGTCTGTATCTACAAACTACACACACTGTCATTACTTTTTCAAAATGATCCTAAAAGGATGGTGGAAAATCTCTGCTGGCAACTATCTGCCCATAGGCCCTTGACAAAAACGCTCTATTGTTTATATAGAAACCTTAAGTTCACCATCTAATTGTTAATTATTTGTCCCCCTAGCTTAGCTATTTTATCCCCCATTTCTCTGCCACAAAAAAATCCCGAGTTAAAGAATAGCCACCTTTTACTGATACTAGTTAACCAAATTGATGTATACGTATATAGGTGAGGTAATAAAGGTAAGTTGAGTTTACAGTGGAACGTCTCCACAATGGCCACCTTGGGGACTGAGTCCTGAAAGTAGCCATTATGGGGAGGTAGGGGTGTAATAAGACACCTGTTTTTATTTTTCAGGGTGCAACATTTTTTTGTCAAAATGTGCTTATTTTGGCATATAGAAATCAAAATGTATCAATGCAACAGAAACTAAATAAAAACAGAGACCCAACGACCCACAGTATGGATCAAGTTTAGTGACCTTTTACAATAAAAAGGTTTAAATTTGTCTACACTGTTTGGCAGTCATTGATTAATGGCCCTTTTTGAGAGGTTATTTTGGCCACTTGGGATGAGTTTTAGTGGCAGTTGCCATGGTGGAGAGGTGGCTGTTGTAGAGAGATTAAAATAAGAGTGAATGTAAGGACTGTCCGTCAGGACTGAAAAAAGTGGCCGCTGTAAAGAGGTCACCGTTGTATGGAGGTGGCTGTTAGTGGAGGTTCGACTGTATTTATTTTTCATTAGGGGGGGGGGNGGGGAGAGGGGGAGCAGAGGCAGAGGAGGAGTTCAGTCCATGCATTCTCTTCGTCTCTATTCTTTATCTGTACCAAAACTACTCCCATGTATGCCATTTGTAAAGCTAATGCCGGCTGGTAGATTCACAGACATTTAACAGGACATCGAACATTTGTCAACAGCATGTCAAAAAATAAACCTTACTTTCCAGAAAACACACTTAATCTGATAGATTGCTAGCTTGTATTTAGGCATAATTCTGACACGAAGTAACCTTTCAATATTAAAACGACAACGGAATCTTCCATTGGGCTGAATAAAGCTAAGGTTACCACACACCTCAGTGTAGGCTTTATAACCTATGTAGTTCCTTACTGTTGATGCGGTTTACGCGGATCTGTGCCCAAAACTATGAAACATAGTGAAACAACTAATTCCAAAAGAGAGCTACTTCCATCTTCTCTTACCGCATCAGTATTTTCGTCTCCTCGTTGACTGCGAGGCCGGCGGTCACGAGAACTTGTGTCATTATCCTCGTAAGCTACTTCGCCCGACATCAGTCTAGTTGTTTCGTCGACGTCTTCTTCGTTCATGTATCTGTTACAACAAGCATTGGCACTCCTTCTTGGTACAGAAACGTATCACCAAAGGGGTGAAGTTCCTTTCTCTGCACGAGGTTCCGAAAATCACTGAAAAACCATCATGGCGGAAAAACAGTGACGTCATATCACCCCTCCTCGATATCAGACTGTGATCGAGCGGAAATTGGGTACCAGCGCACATGTCTTGGTGGGCCATGGGCCGGGGGTGGGTGAATAAACTAAGGAAAGAAGGAGAATGAACGCGAGCTAAAACGCCTAAAGGGACAATATCCCAGAAAAATAAGATACGTTTTAAGTATCAATACATATAACATGTCCTTATATAATTATATCTGCCGTTTTTTGTTCCACTGGGCCTTGATCCGCAATACGCTTTTCTTTTTCTCTCCCTCTCCAATCTCCATCTCTCTCTCTCTCTCTTTTTTTCCCGAGATTCGGATTATTTATGAACAGAAGGCGATTATAAACGCCACAACCTGAGTGAGAAAAAGACGAAAGATAATGAAAAGATTGGAGGAAGGACAAAAACAACAACCTGAATCAAAATAAACAATACCGTAGGAATTTCCTGTGGTCTATGGAGAGAAATTTAACCCGGCCCCTAGGCAGAGAAATTTATATCCCTAGTCTTAGAACTCACATTTGCACCCAAACTTTTGGAAATGGTGGGGGAGTTGGAAGAGGAAACATAAAAAAACTGACAGAGATGGAATCCATCAAACAACCCTGCTTACAACGAAAAAAACTTAACACGGAATAGACAAGGGTCAAAACTGAAAGCCAAGATTTGCAAAAGGGAACAGCTGTTCCAACTTGGTTGGGTCTCGTCAACACAGTGTAGTTGAAATAGTTGTAGAATTTCGTATCGTCGAAACATAATTTGGTCCACTGAACCAGATTCGAACCAGTGACCTAAGGATCTAGCAGGAAAAAAAACACAGAGGGCAACTAGCAAGAGAGCCAATTGTGTACTAAACGCACGTGTTTATGACACAAGAAAGACATTATAGAGACACTTCAGGCTAGGTAAGCTGAATTTTTAATAGGGTTAAGGACAATCGCTTCAAATTCCTTCAATTAGTTAAGGTGATTATCAAAACTAAAAGGTACTGCAAAAGCTCCAGCTGGGGACCTTACAATAATAATAATAATAATAATAATAATAATAATAATAATAATAATAAT